ATTTCCTACTCCGCCCCTCCCCATTATCCTATCCATCTCTTACTTTGGCCCCCTCCCCATTATCCTATCCATCTCCAACTCCACCCCTACCCATCATTCCCTTCACTTCTTATTCTGGCTGTCCCATCATCCCACTAATCCAGCCCAACCATTAAGCCAACCTCATCCAGCATTTCATCCACTGTCTACATACATGTACCTTGTGCCCATGATCCTCCTCCTACAGGTACCGCTCCCCCAACAAACATCCTAATCTGTCACTTGGACCCCCATCCTTTACAACTCAATACAACTCAAAATGTTAACACTCCGCTTTTATAAATTTTTCACTAAATTCATAAACTACGCTTCAAAGCGTTAATGCCATATGAGACTATTTAAATACTGATTCCAAGAGGAAGCAAACAAGCACTCAGTGGCACATTGTAACACCAATGTACCTGCAAGGAAAAACTTTAACATTTGAGGACGGCCAGACGGATGGACAGAAGATGGAAATCAGAATTACACAGGCTCGCATTTGCTTCGCGGCTCGCGAAAAATCAAAAACTGATGCACTGCACTTCATATGTGCAACTTTTGGGCTTTATTTTTCCTTTATTTTAATCAGCCAGGATCTGCTCAGGATGACCTCTCACCTTCAGACATTAACCCCAGGGGGTAGAGTGGTATCCACATGGTGTACCGCAGCCAGGATATGACCTCGCTCTCATAGTTCAGTGTCGCGCATATGTAAAACGGGTACCTGGTGGCAAATTGTACAGGGTATATGTGTCAGAATTAAACGGATATAAACATTGATAAGGGGTGGATATTGGTAACTGAGACATGGGCATCGTATGATAGACAGGACTGCTTGCCAAGATTACTCTTACATGACACTGCCCCTCTTTGTGCAATCCCATTGAACTAAAGCCGTATGGAATTTTCACACATCTCTCCTAGGTCGCATTACACCCTTGCGACCTCCGTCTGAACAGTTAATATTAACAACTAATTCAAATTCTCACTGAATTCCTGTCTGTTCAATCGGACGTACACTTTGTAACTTACTTGTAGCTCCCTTCTTCAGTAATACCTTTTCATTACTGTAAGCATGAAATGATACCTTTAGGTCAATGCATTGCATTGTAAGAGTGAGCTATTATCACTGACGTGAATCATCGTAATCATTGTAACCATCAATATCATTATGACAGCAAAATTTGGCAGATATTACGGACAACTAAGCACCCCTCTAATCATGGGACAGTTTAATTTTGAGGTGTGTGGAAATTTGCAAGGGAGACAACAGACCAAGTTCTCTGCTTGTCATGGTGAATCNATCATGGATAGTTGAAATGGTCTAAGCAAAAGTCATACATCTTTACTAGCTCACCTAACAACCTCTATGGCACTCCATATCATAAACAAGTAGCACACAATTGGCTCTCCATGAATATCTTCATTTGGCATGATAACCATGAACAGCAGCAGGTCGCGACCCAGGACCTTCAGCAAAGAAGAAACATATCCACTTAGCAATGCTGAATTTGCAAATTTCAACAAAACTTGTTCACATAATTTAAGGTGTCAGATAATTTTGAATTGATAAGTTCCCTAGCATGACAACAGACCCATTGTGCCTTTAAGTCATGTGACCTGTAGTGGGGATCACCATCACCCATCAACCAGCATGGCGTCCTCTCATAGCAAAGTGTGTCACAAGTGTCATTTATCAAGAACAAAGCCGACAGTCAGTAGAGTACCCAGACCACTGATGTGCTAATGCTTAAGTCAACTTTAATTTTGGTAAACAACACTTGCAAAACACTGTGCTTTGGGAGAACGCCATGTTTGTTGACGTTTGATACCCACTATAGGTCACACGACATAGTGTGCATAATCGGTCTATTAAGACTCTTTTCTCCCAGGCACGCCACATGATGGCTGCGTGTCTCCTACGGATGTCAGGACTGGCAGGTTTTGCATTAGATATTCGGATGACAAATCGCTCAAACATTATTGATGCTGGTTCAGGATGAAGCGTGGTCACACTAGTACCAATTGTGTTGCACGGCCATCAACTGTATAGGAACGCCTACTTTCTCCAGTGAACAGTAAAATGAGATAACAGAGGTTGCTGCATCATGTTTTGGACACAGCGATCACATTTGCGATCTAACAGGTACTCAATGGCATCTCACATGCTCAGTGTTCCATGCCTCCCTAGAGTGTTAACAAAAACACTCTGTGTCCGAAATCACAGCAGTCATCAATTGATACATGATGGCCATACCTGGATAACTGGGGCAACCACACCTGTTTTGACGAGGCCCGTGAGAGGGTGAACGATCTCCAGCAGGGCCAGAAGCTGACACATTCCCAGAGGATAAAAGAACTTCTCAAAAGCAGCAAACATCTCAGCTGGGGAGTAACCAAAAAAAACAAAAACACAGACTCATGGAGAGATTTGAGTAAATGAAAATACTCGAAGTTCAACTCATAAAGGCTAGAAGACTGACATACTTTTAAAGAAGGCGATGTGAATATGAACTGTCTTCTAGCACAGACCTATGCATCCCTAAAAAGTCTTAATTCTTAACACGAGGGACCTGAAATTTCTCCAGTATATGTAGGTTCTTGGGATATTCTGGCACCATTCCTCAGTGACCATATTGATACATTGTGACTAGACCAAGTCAGACTTTAACCTAAAGACAGCAAGTCAACTGACTCACATGACTCACACCTCGTTAATTCAAGCCAAACATCAATCCTGACTCACACTGAAACAGACACACTCAGAGGAACGTTAAAATCTGTAAATGCAAACCTGGAATAGATTTGTCTTCCACATGGCGAGGAAAAACTTACGCTACCTTAATGATCCCACGAGGTCCTAGCATGAATCAGCAAGTTTTAGAATGACCAAAGGAAATAAATGCACACAAGGTAATGGGGTGAGGCACAGAAATTGCAAGCTCTGACTTCTTTTGGTTTAATCAAAAGGAAGCTGGGAACTCAAGTTTCACCCACAAAAGTTGAAGCATTCAAAAAATTCCACACATGATTCAATCTTGGTGCTGCAAAAAAGTGTCTGAAATTAAATCCTATCAAATATTCCTTTTGATAATGTTTTTCACAAGTCCAAGAGGTTGGCAATGGGCATTAATATGCTTCCTTCAGCTCAAGAATTTTTTGTTGGTTGTTTTGTTTGTTCCCACGGTACTTTTCTCACAAGTTAACCACTTATCCTACAAAGATAGCCTACAAATAATAGCTTTATCGGAATGAGAAGAGACACACAGAATTTTTGCTTACATTTGCCGTAGACAATGAACCAGACAAACAACAGCACGGTGGTGTAGCTGTAGCCCAGGAATTGGATCAAGTTATAGATGAACAAGTAAACCCTCTTCAAATCTGCATATGCTGCAGAGGGAAACCAAGTAATTACACAGGACCTTAAGTAATTTAACACCACAAGCCTATGAAAATGTCGATCTTGAAGTTTCAAACAGAAAACTGTCTCTCAATGCAGGGCCGGCAACGGTGCACACTGGGGGGTGCGCAAACATTGCATGCACACGTGGGCAGAGTGAAGGCATTTTTTTGGGGGGGGGAAGGGGTAATGCCAGAGTCAATTTGCCAGCTTGTGACTTGCTGGCCAACCTCATTTTGTGTAAAATGGAAATCTATGGTACGTTACATTTCATGCTTCAGGGGAAATGCTGACAGCCCACACGTATCATTTTTGTACCGATTTGGGATTCATTTGCCAACCAAAGCTCTATTTGCCAACTGGAATGAAATAGTTAGGGTGTCCCGCACCCCTCCCCCCAACTAGTCGCTATGGCCCTGCATGCAAACGGCAACAACACAAGTGGCCTTCAAATGCCTATTACACCTCTCTTATCATTGCTCACAGGGAAGGATTTGGGGGAAATCTATAAATCTGGGGTCTAATTTATTTTGTTTGTGTCCCTTCTGTGTGTTTAGAACAAGTCCTCTAATTTCTAACACTCAGCGATTAAAGAATGCAAATTATACGCTGAACAAATAGAAATAGAATATAGTCAATTTCAATGACCCACTTTTCTTCTTATTTCTCTTCTTCAAGTAGTTAGGAGAAACAACTAACCCTTTTCCTGTGCCTCCATGATGTCTCTCTCAATGCGCTTCAGTGTTTCACGTTGCTCGTCAAGCTGGAAGAAAAACCACAAACAAGTATCAAAGTAACTGCTTGATTAATATGGTTCTGAATGCTTGAAAGCTGTAAATTATTTTGGCAATATGTACAGAACGTGCCCATGAAACAGTCAAATATTTTGTCTATGAAGGACACTCACAGTCAATGAAGCTTCTTTTTGTATCACAATTAATCAAACTGTGCATACCCGTACCTCAGCCTAGACTACAGACACACTCATACAAAGATAACCTGCCTTATCAGCTCTGAATTGGAATTTGGTCCCTGTTATCTAGCCAGGCAAGACCGTCTCATGAATGTTTAACCAAAGCACTACTGAATGATGTTTTAGTGGGTGCCAAAAGTTGGCTTTCCACACATGCATGCCTGTCTTCCCCAAAATTAAGAATTTAAACAATTTGTGGATTAAAACTAATAGAAGCAAAGAAAACCAACACTGTAAGTGCCCTTGGATCTTCATAGATTTTGTTGCTCAGTAGGGCTGTAGTCCAGACCTATTAAGACCATCACAGGACCCCAAAAGACCATCAAAAGACCTCCAGTCTGAAATTCAAGTCACAAGCTATTCAAATGAACTGCAACAGAAGCATTCCTTTGTCATTGTTTACCCATAACTTGTGACAGGTCTTATGGTCTTGTGCATGGCCCTACCATGGTCTCGACTACAACACTCCTGTTCAGACAGGTGGAGCCCATTTGTTGGTGGTTTTACTGAGGTCACTAGGGGCAAGGAAAGGGAGATGAGGACAGGGGAAAACACTGACTGTGGAAATGGGAAAAGACAGAAGGGAGGAAAGCTTCTGCTGCTTCACATGAAGAAAGTAAACTAGGATGGGTGAAATGTAGCCAATGCAGAAAGAATTATGGTCCAAGAAAGAAGGGCAGGCAATGGTAGCAATGTTAAGATGAAAGTAACAAGCAATCACGTAAACTGGTGGAACCGACAGCTAGGATAAGCAGGCTTTGAATGAGAAACCCAGGTGGATCAGTGCACACAATGTGAAAATGTTACAAGAACCTCTAAGTAGCTACGGGCCAATTAAGAATTCAAAGTCGGATACGGGAAACAATTCTGTGGTGTGCACTTTAATCGCTGAGCTACATGCACACTGATTTTCGCTTCCCATGTTTGCAAATAGACGATCCTCCACAATCTCTACATTGGTATTTCTGCCGCCCATGTTTGCAAATAGAATGACACAATTACGGCATAACTGGAACCCTGATGGTAAGATGCACCTCTCCTTGCACGTACCGCTTGCGATTGCTGGTCATCCTCATCGTCGCTATCGTCTGCCAACCACTTGTCAAAATCAAGACGAAGCCAGGCTGGCTTCAGCTTCTTGTGGGTCACTCTCGGCCATGGGTCGTTGGCCTCCGCCTTGACCAGGTTGATCTCGACGTGGCGGTCCGAAATCCGGTAGGTGCTGTCCTAGAAAAAAAAATTGCAATTACCCTTAAACTTTATGAAGATTCCAGCTGGATCTTTACACAAAAATGTAAAAACTCTTAGGAAAGGCATTGGGGATATTCATTTCTTCTGACAATCCAGTCTTGTCAAGAAGGCCTAATGACAGGAATGTCCGTTTTGCGAGTGCAGTGCCGGCATCCCATCAATAATTTATTGTTTTGTGCAGAAAAAGCTGGAAGCTACAGGTACGTACATGTATACTATGCAAGAAATGAGGTACATGTGGCTATCTTTGAAAACAAGGACCAGAGGAAACTTCAACAAAATAGCTTTGCCATATTCAAAAAATGAGAGAAAATAGAAAGAATATGAACCTTCTAACTCATCAGAAAAAAATTCAGTTTCACTTAGCTTCTTTTACTTAATGGTTGCTTTATAAATGTCACGAACACTGTTTTTATAGGATTCTCAGAGCTTTATTGTGGGCAATCTCTATTTTACAGCAAAGAAGAATTATGCATGAATGCACGATGTCTTTAAAAAAGGAAACCAAGATTAATTAATCTGTTTCTGAAATGTGACTGATCATTTTTGTAAATGCCATTTACTAAATGGTAAGCATAATCTGTTTTTAATATGATGCCCTCTTTCGTATAAGGAAATCTAAATTTCTGTCACATGACGGCGCACAAAGTAGTTTAATGGACCTTGTCAGAAATGGCTTTGCACCAGATTCATGACAGCTTTGCACAGTGTGAAGAATTAAGAACACTACCCAAATCATTAATTCAAAGAAAACCTCCGATAGTGGTTTATTCTTGCCACAACTTGAGCCCCATGTCCTTCAACATCCCCCCCCATTTCTTTCAATGCAAGTGTCTTCCCTTGTTCTCATCTCTCTGGATTTACTTCATTTACCTTCTCATTTACTGGTGCGTAAAAGTCCAGAGAGAATCTGTACGTGTGCAGTCCACCTGCTCCAACACCTAAAGCTGGAAAGGAGCAATTGATTTCAGTGTAAAGTGTAAGAGAAGAGGTTGTATATTGTGAAAGAAGTAGTGTATAAAAAATGTAGCTGGGTTTGTCATCAGACAAAAAGCCCAACCAAAGAAACAGAAGCCTATGAGCACCCTAGAGCTGCCGTGAGTTAGAGAGAACAAGAGATATTTTATGCACTATGAACTAAAGTTATGGTGAATAACAGCACTGTAACACCAACTCAAGCTTCTGTAACCAACTGCTCCAAGTGACGACAGAGGCATGGCAGATGGCATTTTTGATCAGTGATTGTGGAGAAAAGAAAATGAGAATCTCATTGTCAGACAGAAAAGAAACTGTATTTCACAGACACTGACAGAGAGGATGAGAGTTTTAGTCAGTTCACACTTGCCTTCAAACTGAAGACTCTCCTCTGTTACATCTATGGAATGACTCTGCCATCATAATAGAGGAAAAAAATGGTTAGGGCAATGAAATTTGCTCTTCATCAAATATATGTATTAGAATCACACCAATTGCACTGTGGGGCTCGTTGTCCACTGCAGGTGATGAGCCCCAGAGTTCTGGGAGTAGAGGGAGGCAGCAGCAACTTCCAATCACTACACACACCACTCACTATCATCTTGAACTACTGTCAACTGGGGTAACTTCGGAAGGTTAAAATCCTCATCATTTCTGCTTTTCCAAAAACAGAAATACTTTGTCTTTGTTGATTGGACATTTTTGTCAGATGAAGCCTTAGGTCTAATCTAGTAGTAGCTAACATCCATTCATTTCTTTTACTAGTGAGTTAGAGCTTAAATAAGTGCTGCCACACTCCATGGTTTGGGGCAACTTTGGCAGGTTGCCGGAATTAATGAAAGAAAAATTAAAAAGGATTACAACAAAGTTTCACACATGAAAACTCCTTCAAGCCCAGGCTCCAGGTGTATTTTATGATTAAATGACTTCCAAGAATCATTTTAGAGAAACTTATATATTTGTATAGTGCATTGCGAAGATGTGACAACTACAACAGGTGTGCCTCCCGCCAAAGTTACTCCTGGGGGCCAAAGTTACCTCGGTTTACGGTACAACTTGAAAATTACACTATAAAAAGGGATCTGCTAAACTGTAACACACTGAAGTTAAATGTACCTTCCAAAGTTTGCAAAGAACTTTGTCAAATTTTAACACATAAAGCTGAGCAAGCATTTGTTCGATTGGAATTCTTTGATGTCATTCATTGACTTTTTTTAGCGGTTTGAAATATCCACTGTTAATTGGCTCACGACATGGGATGGTTCACGTACTGGGATTAGTGTACATGTATGTGTAGCCTATGCCATGTATCCATAAATGTTACAACTAACTGCTAGGACTAACACACTGACCATCAACTAGGCCACGAGAATGAATATCCTAGATTTCCGTCCACCGCCTGCATACTGTTGAAACAGCCGCCCAAAATTTCATTATTTTCCAAAATTACTATTTCAGAGAAATAGATGTTTTTCCCGTTGGGAAAGGTTAACAATGGCTGCAATGTACATCAGGAGTACGTATTGTGTCCATGTACAAATGGCATGATGCAAGACAAACTGATAGCTAGTCTACATTCAAGGCTGGTCCCCTTTGCATGCAGCGTACTCGCTATGGATGTGCGGTATAAACACCAACTAATGAATAATCAATAATGAAAAAAAGCCTCATCGGTTTTCAAAATTGTCCGGACCCAGAAATTCAGGATGTTCATTCTCATGGCCCTAATTAATTGCAATCTGCATAAAAGGCAACAAATGCAATGACAGGCAGAAAGTAGCATATTTTTTTTACTCAACATTTATTTCCATATTGCAATGTTGGCCTAGGCCTATACACAAGGTCAACAAAGGAAAGATTTTTTACTACACAAGAGTGAAAACGATATACATACATGCAAGACCACAAGACGATGAAATAAAAGGAGGCAAATACGGAGGCATATTCAGAAGACAAAGTTTTATCATGTCTTAGGCCCTAAACAGAACCTATAACCGAACTCAACTGAACTGTGTTAAGCCTAAACATTCTAATGTCGCTAGTAACATGACTAATGCAAATAGAAATAGGCCTAACAGTAACAAAACCTAACGTAATTGCGTACAGTTACATCGCGGACTTCAACACGAAGAGACACGTTCTTGTCAGTTTGGGCCCAGTAAACTATTGGATGCAGTATCCCTTCTCCAGACATCCTTCTTCACCGACGAAAATTCAGAAAAACGAAATAGGCCTGCAATTTTTGTAACGTTAGCAGGTTATTACTATTAGCTCTACCCTCCCACTCTTATCCCATACGCACGCGCGCGTGCCGAAATAAAGGTGGCAAGAAATCGTCTCTGGAGGGCGTGTAAATTTTGACTGCACTAGCTGGTTACTTGACATGCACGCTCGCTCACACCCATGCTGCTCAATATTATTTCGGGAGAGAAGTTGTATCCTTCTCTGGCTTCATCACTAAAATCGATATCCAGATGTAAGCCTACTGTGCACTGGCAGCGGAAGCGCGGGGGGGGGAGCGGGCTACTGGCCTCCCACTTTTCGAATTTGGCAGTTCCTTAAATGGCTGATTCACGATCTGGCAAGTTCCCCCGGCTTTGAAAATCGTTTCACAGAAATATTTCAGTTTTTGTCTCTGTTGTATGTAGTTTGGTGTTCTGGTGGCAGTACCCGACTTACCATTGCGCTCAATTTTATTTCATTTTATTTTTTGAGGGGGTGGAGGGGGTAGTATGCCTCTTGGATGAATAAGTTCTGCAAACATGGCTTGCACCCAGTGTGCCGGCCTAATATCTTTCTTCATAAAAAAGAGAAATATCAAAAGCTCGTAATTCCGTTCTGCGTCAATAGAATACCGGCGATTCCCCGGTACCCTCAAAGTAATTTGGCCTTTAAAAAAGAAAGAAATTCAGGCGCACAAACGTTGAGTTGGTGAGCCTGGACAATTCTTGGCTTCTTTGTTGGCTTGCAGTCTTGAGATTTAGAGAAGCTTTTCATAGGAATGCTTTCACTAGAACTCAAGTTGAGCGAGATAATAAGCACCAATTGTTTTTAACCCCAAACTATTTCAAAACCGAATAAATCCAGAGCGATTTCACTACAGGCAACAAGCATTTTATAATTCCATTTAACTTTTGGATCGAAGGCGCGGGGGATACAACGGCTTGGCATCATTGTATGCGGTGATTCACAGGTCTTGCTTCCAAAAATATTCACTAAATGTACAATAATGAAGAAAGGTTGACTGCAGAAAAATTACACAGAGTGATCAAAGTGACCAAAATTCAGGCTTTCTATGTATTAATGAACATTTTTAATTGGTTCTCCGACTAGATTGGAACTGTTGATGTAGATTTCAAATTTACACCAATGATGTAATGTTCAAATTACGAGACGTTTGATTCTATAATTGTGAATTACCGGTATAACAGTATATTTTCTCAGAAGTAATCAAAGAAACTCAAAGAAATCTATGTGTTTAAAGCAAAATCCGATAAAGAGAAGCTGTATCGTTAAAATGAATCATGGTAGAGTTTTTGTACAAGGCTGATTAGGCATAATGCAAGTGACTGTTAATTTTTTTTCAAGGATTGTAGGTGATTTTATTTTCTTCAGCTTTGAGGCATGATGCAAGCACAAGATGGATGCTTTATTTTCTTAAGGTTTAAATTAAATGCTTGAATGCTTGTAAGGGGGCATGTGGAGGGTTTGTGGCTTCCAATCATAGGGTTTGGAGGTTCGAATCCAGCTGTTGGCAGTATGTTGTGGCCCTTGGCAAGCCTCTTTACCCCTACTTGCCTCTTTCCACCCAGGAGTATAAATGGATACCAACATTAGCTGGGGAAGCAACCTGCGATGGACTGGCATCCCATCTAGGGGGGAAAATAAATATTCTCAGTCATTTCATGCCAAGGAAACCGGAGATAAACACCGGCCTGATGAGCCAAATTGGCTTGGACCAGACTTGCTTTTTTTAAATGCTTGAAACAATGTACTTACCCAAATTTGGAAGCACTATTTTTCATCGGTTTCAGAATCCACAGTTAGCCCCAAATCAATTATTTACATAATGTCTGTTACAAAATGTCTTTACTTTGTTCATATAAGTTGTTAAAAAATCCTACATTGGTGTGTTATATAGAAAGTCACAAAGTCTTCTGCGATTGAAGATATAGTCTACTAAGTTTTCTTCGAAGTGTCTCGTTTTCCAGACATTCCAAAACATCGAGTGTCCTTTTTCTATAGTCTTTCTTAGTTGCGAAATGTCACGTGTATGAAGAGCTCCCTGAAAATGTTCATGGTTTTTTTGTATTTTTTGATTACACGATGATTCGTGGCTCTCTTCTTTAAAATGGAAATTAATATAGTTATGGTATGTAAGTGTATATATATTTTTTATATGTCTAATCAGATTTTTATTTTTAATAATAAATCTTTAATTCATAATGCAAACTTTCGATGGAGAGGAAAACGATAAAAAGTTGTGGCTCAAGTTAAAATTAGAAAAGTTTACAGAGAATTGCTATACAGCATTAATTCAATTACTGCCCAAAATATATACGACAAAATACCAGAAGATGAATTTTTGTTGTGATGCAATTTTTTTTGGGGGGGTGGTGAATTCTTTTTGTTTTGTATTTCTATTCTAATCGCCTGTTACCGCGTGCCTTTGGTTTTACCGACACGCCTCGGACTGACGAACTTTTCACACAACTGGTTGAGTTCCTTCAAGATTGTCTTCAGCTCTGGTCTCCGGTTCGGTTCCTCGAACACACACCTGTCTCCTATCGTCTTGAAACCAGACAGGAGTCGGTTCTCTTTAGCGATGTCTTGCAACACAATCCCAAGACTGTAGATGTCTGACTTCACGTTGTACCTGCTCCTACCCTCCACAATTTCTGGCGCCAACTGAGTGCAGTTTTTGAAGGCGAACATCATTTGTACGAAGGTCAAGATCTTGGGTGGCGGTGGGCTCTTGATTCGCGAGGCTTTCCCTAAATCAATGATCTTGCCCTCCCAGGTTGCAGTTAGTTTCTTGGGATCTCGCCAGACCATTATGTTGCCAACGTGGAGATCGTTATGCGTCCAACCAGCTCGATGAAACGTGTCGAGTCCTTCAGTGACGTCAATGCAGATTCTCACCCAATCCAGAGGCAGCAGACGAGGACCCCTAGAATTCCTGTAGAGCAATTTGAAGGCACTCCAAGACTTCATCGTGCGGCTATTCCCGACGAACTCCTGACCGAAGGAATAGAGGTCAAGTACTCCCAGGAACTTGGGGAAGACTCTGCAAGATTTCACTGCCTCCATGGCTCGTATTTCTCGCAACATTTCCTGGGTTCGTTTGTCTTGGCTTTGGCACCCTCCAAATTGTGTTAGTCGTTTAACGGCCATGAGAGTGCCATCCATGTGAGATCTCATGAGGTAGACGTTTCCATAATCCCCACAGCCAAGTTTGATGGGAGTTCCTTTCTTAGTCTCCACAGGCTGGACATCTTTCTCGTCAATGATGGGAAGGCCTAAAGCTTGTAGGTCCTTGGAGCTGGTAGCTTTGGGCTGGGCTGGAGATCCTTGCTTCTGAACGGACTTCCGGAATGTCCTTTTGTTAATAGCAGGGCAAGGGGATGGTGCCTTTGATTTTGATGGCTTAGTAGAGGGCTGCGGTGTTGGAATCGCACTCTTCCCAGATGGGACCTTAGGGGTTGATGGCAGAGCTAGTTGAGGAACATAGGAGGGGGTCACTTTTGCCACTTGGGTTGCCTGACTTGAGGCACCATTTTGAGGAGAACACCCTCCATTTCCACTGACACATGTCTTGGTCTTGTTGACGTGCCCATGCACTGCCTGACGTTGCTGGTTGTGCTGAGAAGTGCTGCTAACCTGCTGTTTCCTGCATTGTACGACAAGTGGTAGTGAAACAAGACTAGTTAAGTTTGATGTCTTTTTCTGGACATCTCTCAAACTTCAGCCAGTATGAGTTAGCCTTATATACATTCAGCCATACCTTTTCTTTGCTCCTTTGATCAAGATCTTCAACCGGCCCAGCAATACCTCGGCTCTATCTGCATTTTCTTCTATTTCCTGCAGGTATAATGCAAGGGACCGAATGAGGCGCGAGGTAGTAAAGAGACGAGAAACGCTGAGGCAAGGGTGGGATGATGAGATTTTGAATTAATGCGAGAAAGGGTTATTGTATACAAAAATGAGAAATCCAGACATTCAAAACTGGCATGATTCAGACTGATACAGATTACAACCGAATGCGTGACGGACCTAAACAAACCATGTAAGGCACCAAAATAGACAGTAAAGGTGCAAATATTTAAGATAGTCATTGTCAAACCTCAGCCTAACAGAGGCATGAATTTATCAACTCGCAGAAGCTCAGCGCAAGTCATGAACGATTTCAAAAGAGTCGACGTATTTTGAGTCAAGTCAACTCAATTGTGTTTTTTTTAAAAAATAAGTTCGCCATGTGACTCACCTTTTTCTCGTTACTAGTATATATCGAGGTGTTGCTGGTTAAGTCTTTGAGGGTTTGCAGATCTACCCTCCTCTTAATATAGGCGGTGATCTCCTGAATTCGGCGCTGTCTTGCACCAGGTGACAGTGTTCGCATCTCGTCTGCCAAGACGTCTGGAGTGACGTCCAACTAAAACAGATTACAGAGAGTGTAGCGTTAGTGAGAGCGTGATGCTATCATAATGATTCTGACTAAATCAAACATTACTTGGAAAATGACGAGCAATATAATAAACTCACAACGTTCCTGCTATCTGGAGGTGAAACAATGGATGTGCCTGACTGAGGTGATGATGCCAACGATGGGAGCTTGTGACTATTTATCCGTGAGTTCTTCAATGCACGTGGTAATGTTCCTCCAGTGAGATCAGGTTGAGCAACTTCGAAGCTCCTGGGGTTAGTTTTGCCTAGTGATGATAAAGCGGACATCATCTCCTCTCCTGCTGATTTTGGAGGCTCGCCTTGGGAAGATGTCCCAGGTGATGCCTCCTTGACTAGTAGAGAAGCACTGACTAAACTGGTAGTTGGACTTTCACATCTGCTCGATGAAATCCGGTCCAAGGAACTCTCCTCTTTGTCAGGTGATGCTTCTGGGAGCTGCTTAGACGCGACTCTAATAACGTCTGGACAGCACAACGGTTGTTCTGTCTGAATCTCCTCAGAAGAGTCAGGAGAGGAATCTTCCTGTCCAGGTGGGCAGGTCTGGCATTTTTGCTGGCTGCTGTCTGCGTCATTTCTATCCCTGTGCTCGTTCCTAGAGGCAAGAGCAAAAGGAAAAACTGAATCCAAGACGACGTCCTTGATGGACGACAACCTGAAAGTGAAAGATTTTAAGACATCCCAATCACCCATCAATCTCAATCCGTATCTTCATTCTTAAAACATCTTTTAGCAACTTGTGATGGGTTTGTGAAGTTTTTGCGCTTTTCTTTGGTTTTGTTTACTTATTTTGTTTTTACTTGTACATATTATATTTTAAAAGACATTACAAATAAAATTTAAACCATCCATACCTTTGCAGAGTAGTTTTGAGTTTCACAGTAGTGTATTTTCCTATGTCCTGGCGGTGGCTAAATGCATCGCCGTTTGTGTATGCATTTTTAAGACTTGTGAGAGTATCAGGGGCGTGGTCGCCGTTTCTCGAAGTCACTTTCAACAAACCGGGGCCATCACGGGGAGCTGATGGAGGGGTATGTTCCCTGTCGGAAAATCCATTCAATGGTACCACTTTGCGGTGGCGATATCTTCGTAAAAACTTCAAAAACCCCAAGTGGTCCCTGTGTACAAAAAAGTGAACGAAGAGCACAATTGGATTTCCAACTTCAGTTTTCGTTTGTGCGACGAATTACATTTTGTAAGGTGCAGATACGGTTCAATGAATCTTGATCTGAAAAGTGGAAAAATTGTTTCTAACAGTACCTGATGTGGGATTTCTTGGCTTCCCAGGTCTTATCCCCAGGTCTGAGTCCATCAGGGTCTTCGTTGTCTCCTCTGGGGATCGAAGGAGTTCCCTGAGATCCATTGTTGGTATCCAACGAAGATTCGTTGTTTGGATCATGGAGTGAGACTGGTGCCACTTTGGGACCACTCCGTAGCCTGAAAATTATCGTACAAGGTGCCGGTACAAACATTAGTTTTGTGAAGAAGTGGGCGTGCCTATGTATTCCCCCCTGTTGATTGGCTATTTATATTGACCCTTGAGCAAGCGGTCACTAGAGGAGGTTTCAACCATCCGACATTCAAGTCGATTCTATTGCGTATACCGCTCTGTTGGTTGTGTTTTTCTGCCCAGTTATCAAAGTAGTTGTTCCGTGAAATGTAAATTTGGATTATATCACCATGGACTTCAAGACACAAATGTACGCCTACCCTCACCTTTCGTACCAAGATAAATTAGCTAAATCATGGCAGGCGTGCATTGTCTAAGAACGGAAGCTACATAAAATCACAAAATTCGTTTTTAATACCTCCTCATGAACCTAGTTGCGAAGGATTCTCCTTCCCCTCGCTTGAACGGGAAAGTATCTCCGCGACCATCCAGGTCGGGTGGCACTTGTCTCCTCGCCATGGTCTCTCTAACCCAGCCCGTGGATCCGTCTAGCTCCCCGTCAGGGGAAGCAGATGAGGCCCCGTAGGGTTTATTTTTGGTACACTGGACGATCGGATGTTCGGGTGACAAGCGAGAAGAGTATTTTGGGAGAACAGGGGGAACAGGCGGCGCAACCCTGCGACCGCTCAGCATTCTGGTAAAATATTTCACAAGGGAATCCATAAATAGGTTAGAGTCACGGACACAATGTTGTTTAAAATGTTTTAAATTTTTACATGTTATTTCACAAACTTCTTCTTGTATTACAGACTAATTCCGAAAGCTTACAAGACGTGTATACATTTCTATGCATTCAAGTTACATGTACACGTTTTATGATGTTCATGACCTTGTACAGGATTCTCCTAATATCGTACTTAATTTCCTTAAAGCCATATCTCCCTGTTGAAACTTAACAGTACAAATTGTCGGGCGTCTTCCGACTGTCAGACAGTCTGACACTCGTACATGACGAGGGGCAGCAGACGCCCGAAAATTTGTACTACTAAGTTTCAACAGGGAGATATGGCTTTTAAGGAAATTAAGTATGTTATCAAGTTACATGTATAATGCGTTAATTGTGTTTATGCAAGCAACAAATCTTGTTTGATGTGTACCAAAAGGACCCACGCCTAAGATGGCAGCCTGTGGGGTGACGGACCAAGGAGGGAGTTGTTCGCGTTTGTGAAATTGAAAATAACCACAATCTTTTTCTGTATCTTTTATAATAATCACTGCAGCTACGACAAGATCGTTCAAAAGTAAAGATTTCAACAGTACACGTTCTCGCCAATCTCTCCCTCCCTCTTTCTCCTCTCTCTCGTTAAGACTTACCGGAATTTAGCGGAGGCGAATTCCGTAGCAAATCGAAACATCTTGATGATGAAAAGCTGCAAGCTTTGATAACTTTCCGAAATAATCAAATAATCTGAAGCAGGAGGAAATACTCCGAAGCACACTTTCTGTGTTAACTCAACGAGAGCAAAACGTAATCTGATTTGTTGACTGTGTACATTGGTTACAAATCCACAGTGATTGTTGGTAAGATTAATTCTCGCGCGTCTGTAACTGTGTGTGACGAACAGAGACGTTAAACGCGCGCGTAATAACCCGTTGCTCTCTATCTGGTTCGTAAGTGTGACGTCACTTCAGTTTAAACCACACCCACTGCACATGCACTACACATAGAGATACATGTACTGATCGTCGTAATCATGGAACCGGAAGTTAACGCGCAACTTCAGCGATCGTCCAATGGGAGCCTGAAAATCGTGGTGCGTCCGCCTTTGTGACGAAGTCACTTACGAACCGGATCCGATTCGTAAGTGACTTCGTCATACATGCGGACGCACCATTGACTGCACACAAGTTGCGCGGTAACTTCCTGTTCCATGTAATCATGTGCGCAGTGGGTGTGGTTTAAACTGAAGTGATGTGTATCCATTGATCTCCATTATAATGGAGCGCGCACGTTGGACCGCGCACGTACTGGTTTACTGAACTGCTTTTATTGGATGCCGTGACGCGTGGTCTACGACAGTGTGAAAGTAGACCCATCATCAGCCAGGCCATGTCGCCATTCCACAAAAGAACCTTCTTACACTGTTACGTCATTGAGACACCCAACCGGAAGGCAGGGTAGAGTTCAACCGGAACTTACCCCTCCCTCCGAAATTCGGGAAAGAATATAACGGAGTGATTAACAAAGTAAACATTTTGCCCGCTGCCTTAGTCTCCGCCTACCCCCCCCCCGAGAATCCCGGCTGGGCAGCTGCTAAAAGTCACGATGAAAAAAAGAGTGAATTTCAGCTTGTGCAAGCTTTGCGCAGTGTTTTTAGTTTGGAACTAATGCATGGGAAGCCAAAAAAGGAGGAAACCACAGCTAATAAGAAAAAGTTCCATGCCCGTATTAAATTTCTTTGTATTATAAGAGAAATACAAATGTGGATGGGGATATCAAATCTCTCGACTCAGAAACCTGCAGTCTGGCTTTAGACGCCTCCAGGCTGATAGAATTTCTATGGGCCATAATAAATAAGGAGTCTCACATCAGGCAGGATTCCCACCATTTTGTGAAATGTGATCTTTAATATTTTTCGCTTTTTGACAAAAACAAAAGGCTCAAGATAAAAAAATTTAGAAAAACCAAAATTCACTGTTAATGTTTTGCCGCTTTTAAACGAGCTAGATTTTCTCTGGCTTTATAAGCAGGAAAGTGACAGTGAATTTTTTCTGTTCCTCGTTTTCCTCTTTCAAGTGATTATTTGGTACATTGGTCTCTTAATTGTCGATGTGAATTTAATTCGCAAGTTGCCTCGAATGATGGATGTCAAACACATCAAAACGGCTTTTAACTTAATTGTAATAAATTATATCTATAAAACGGAGCAACTATAACAATTTACGGCCTTTAAAAAGGTGCACATACATGCTTCCAACTTTCACTCTTCGCGTATTGCACATTTGCTATTTAAGGATTTAATTTACTTTACTATTACGGAAAAATGTTGGACACAAAGGGTTACACTTACCGTCGATGGCTTTTCAATTTGAAACACACAATTCACAAGAGTGCACTTTTCTTTTACAATACTGCATATTTTTACGCATCTTTCAAACATGAGGAAAAACGGTGACCTCTAAATTCTAATAATGGCAAAAGAAATTTGTAACTTTGCAATTTTTTGTAGGGGGGGGGCAATAAGGTGAGGTATCACAATTCAATATCTAGCACACAACATCTATTTCTTGGTTATTTGGTTCAATTTGTCTTAAGATATTTGGGGGGGGGGCATCTGCCTGGAGGCTCCTCCCCAGCCACTAGTGCTCCACTGGTCTCCAATAGAGATGTGGCCTTACTGAATGACATGAGGCCACTGTTTGGGCATGGAGGAAGGACACAGAAGGAGCTACAACGCTGGCACATCAAAGTGCTCGATGATCATCGCCGCCCGGTCAGACAAACAATAGCAAACATTCCAAAAATGGCCGACTATTGCCTGCAGTTCAGCCGGACCAGTGGGGCCAGTAATATCCTTGCAATATTTGTGGAGTTTTCTTTGCAATTAACTGCAACTTGTCGCAGTGACCAGGAAATAGAAAAAAATCTAGCATTAGATTTACTTTTGCCGTCATGAATAATTTCTTTTAAAGATTTTGATGCACTTTTCCATTATCCATGAAATGTTTGTAATTTTATTTTGTCACTCCAAAACACCAGTTTTCAAAGTCTTTCTACGTGGTCAAGACTCTTGACCACCACAGGACAGTTAAGTTCACGAAAAACAAAATGCGCTGTTTCATCGCAAGGAGTGATCATGAATTCTCATAAAATACCTTTTCGTGTAAATTCAGTGATAAAAATGATTCAAATAAAACACAAGATCTTATAAATAACTGGGCTTTTTATTCCCAAAATTAGTCCAGAAGAAAGCGTTCGGTAAGGGCAAAATCTGCACATGAACACTTACGGCACACAGCCTAATACAAGCGACTGCGCAAGCATTAAATTTGATGTAGTTGTCAGATCATACCAGGCACCAACGATGGCATGAATATTCAACTTCCTATACTGCAGTACACAACATTTTAAGGGTGCAGATTACCAGCGAAAAAATGCGGCGAAATGGGGTAAAAAGGGGGCTTATGGTTGTGAAATGCGTGGCAAGCATTCGCATGCGCTCTGGCTAGGACATACCGGACATGCCAGAAAGCGGTAATTGGCCAGATGTTGTAGCCCGGGCAGTTCAAACTCCTTCTGTGCCCTTCATGGTTTGGGCCAGTGTGCACTACTGTTGAGCCTTATCTGAAAGTCACGGCTGCAGCTGCAAACAACACACATACACATACATGTACCTATGAAAGCCAGTCAAGCCACTACAGCTTGCGGCCGCTTCCCAATGATACATGAATTTCTCACAGCTTTAGCAGGTTGATTCAGGTCTTCCTGTGGCTGAGGATTACCATGGAGGCCAAGGACGACACTTACAATTCTTTCACAATCTTCACAAAACAACATGTATTTTTGTTAATTCCTTGCACGACTGGGGTGTCCTTTTGAAGCCACCATAATAAAGTGCACCTGAGTAATTCTGTGTAGCCATTGGTCACATAAGGTACATGAAGCCAGCATGATCACAAAATTCACGACTGTTCAAATAACTGCTCTCATGAATACACTTTGGTTATATAGAGTCACGAATACCACACAGTGTACAGTGCCAGAATGCAGACAGAATGTATATACACAGTGCATGGACATTCTAGTATTGACAATGCTCACAATATGCACGAGAATGGATCAAAATACACTATGTAAGGAATGGAACTGTCCATTGGTAGGGCCAGGATCACTATGTACCGGTAACTGGCATTCAAAATGAGCTGTAACCCTTTCCACACTAGGTTCAACTCTTCAACAGTTGTAATTAGCGATGCATCATGATTGACGTCTCACCCTGTCTGAAGAAGTATTTGTAGTGGCAATGGTTTCCCTTTGTGTGACATGGTGCATAGCCCTACCCAAGGACAGCAAGGCCTGTTTTACACAGGCACTTACAGAAAATAAGGCAGACTGAGGAGATATGACAGATGGATGTCATATGTACAAAACCCAGTTTGTGAAATAAGTATATGTAGTCCTCGCAGGCAGAGCTAGCCAGTAAAAATTAAGACAAACATCTAGCAGTCATCCTGAAGTACGTACATACAAATTGTCCGACTTTTTAGACCTCATCCAACTGTGAATACATGACACATGCAGTGGCTTCACACCCCTCTGCCCCCTCTGCCTTTGTACGCATACATACTCCATAATGCCATTTAACTCATCAACTCATCAGACCAATGTCATCGGGTAATGGTTACATGGCAAAAGGTGACGCGTTTTAATTGAAAGATTCACATGGCTACGCTCTATTTTGTAATTTTTGCCACTCAGTGTATACATTTGGACCTCCCTTCCCTGTGGGTGTACGCAATGTTAACAAGCCTCCCTCCCCCCATTTGTACCTTACGGATGGCCCCTTAGATGACCCCTGGAGTCTGACAATAGTTTACTGATTACACTTTCTTCTCTAGGAAGTTGCAGTGGAGGGAAGTATTTTCAATCCTCCCACCTTTCCATTGTTATTGCCGCTACTTTTTGGATTTGTACCGTAGTGGTGTACATGTGAACCAATTGTCCACCCCAGTCAGGCACCATTTTCCTGCAGAGGTCTGAAGGCATACACAACACTTGACAGGCGAGGACGCACCACAAACTGTACTGCTTCATCAAAGGCAAGGAAAAATGTCAAGAGCTTTCACCTTCCTCAGAGGTTCCTTGACATCCAGATTTGCATGTTCCAGAGGGCGTACTTGCAATTATTACATAGGGAGAATGAGGAACTTCTACTATGGGACAACCTCACTTTTGAAAACACTGAGAAGGAACTTCCTGTGAAAGGCCAAGGTACTACTTAATCCTTTATAATTACTCCACCCTCCAATTACAGGAATGCCTGAGAAGGTTCATAGAGAACATAAAGTTTGTGGCTTTGCAGTATCTGTAATTTTTTCCAACTCAACAAATGGTTATGCTACACGTAGATAGCACTTGGTCCCAAATCCGCAACTGTGGACAGTACAAAAACCTCATGCTAGCCTAGACATCCTCCCTTTCCAACTGTTCCCAACATCAGCAATGATGCATACAAACTCAGCATCACGCGCAGAAGCAGAGGATATGGCCAAACAATGGTGGTGCTATCTGCAAATTTGTGACAGCTGGTATACTTCACTCTCCGGTAAAAACCCATTCAGCGTTCCAACTATGCTTGTGTATATGAAGATTTACCAGTTTCAAGGATGTGCACAGTTAGAACACCTAACTTGTTCTGAACACAAGTAAGGAAAGATTTGGAATGGAATGGTAAGAACAATTTCTCAGGAGATAGAGGAAGTTTTCCACTCCATGAGGCCGAGAGAATGAAAGGTATCGTCTGTCACCAAATGAAATTATTCTTTCCATTTCATGAATGCAAAACATTCACTGCTTGACATAAAATGTGAATAAATTCTGGCATCACTTGAACAAAACCTCCCCCCAAAATCCCTACTAGAATAAATCTTTTCAGTTCAGATATCTGTCCATCAGTTAAAAGAGAAATAGTGTTTCACATTATCTTCTAACGATAGGTGAAGACCCATGCTACAGCACCACCAACAGCATGACCACACAAATTGAGAAATAGAACTTTTATTGATCCATTTACATTCAACATGGACTGTCTATTTTTTGCAGTGCGGCACACAGTGCAATAGGACAGTTCAATGACAGGTGATTAATGATCCACCAATCAGATGACGGAGTTATTCAGACACTTTATAAATGTTATCATCTGGGGTCATGCCATCCCACGGTGCCCCCAAATTTCATCTGTGGCACTGCTAAATAACTTATTACCCGACCATAACCCCAAAGGGTCAAACTTTAACAAATGTCGCAACCTCATCAATTCCGACAGGATAGTCTTTCAGCCACATTCCCCCAGCGAGGATGGTCTGTTTTCCCAGTTCTTCTTTCCAGTTCCCAGCGGGAAGGTAGATGTCACGTGCCCGGGCATGCTGGGTCAAGACTGGCGCCACCAAGTACGCACTGCCGATCAGGAACTGGGAATCAATGTGCTGGGCAACTTTGTCCGTCGGGGCAATCCACCAGATAGGCCTGATAACTGGGTAGCCTGTGATAAATTAAATCAAAAGAAATAACTTCCGATTGTTGATGAAATATTAAAAAAAAAACACAAAAAGACTTGAACCTTCAACCAAATGGGTTTTCATCACAATGTTTACGTTTTCCTCTGAATACCCAAAGACCTGGGGAGTATATTTGGTGCTCATCTGTACAAAATGCCTTGTAAGTTTCATAACCTAGACAACATGAGAGCAGATTTTCTGTACCAAGTGTTATAAGCCTTGAAAATACATGTAGCAAATAAATGATCTCACCTTTTGTAATGACCTCGCTGGAAAAATTGAAAATCATTGGAGTCACGACGTCCTCGTGAATTTTGACCATTTTATGTGCGATTCGAATGACCTCTTCGTCGTACTGCCACGGCGCGACAGAAAACTGCATGGAGGGGAGGTAGGCCATCAGCTCCACCCATCTGATGTACAGCTCACGGTTTGGATGGTTGACATCGACGGAATATACGTTGGTGCTGACATAACCAGGGAGGATGAAGGGATAACCAAGAATACCCATAAGGAGGGCAGTTGGGATCACGGTCAGCAGCCCGTTGTTGTAGTTCCAGTTGGCGTCTCTATCCACCATCCTCACAAATACTGGCTGGTGCTGGGTCTGGTGCCCACAGCGGACATTAATCTGTTGATTGATGGTGGAAACCAGTTCCACGTACTGGGTGCAGTACAGGTTAGGATCGTTGAACGGAACAGTCGCATTGTAGATGAAGGGGATGTAGGAAACCTCACCGGCGTCGAATCTGAAGGAGTCCAGGCCGTAGTCCGTCTGCATCTTCCTCAGCAGGCCAATGTACCAGTTGGCAGCACCCTCGTCAGAGACGTCTAGTATTGCACCAATGCCATTCCACCATTTGATCAAAGCAGGCACGCGACCGCTGGGTTCCCGCATCCAGTAGTTGTGTGATATCCCCTTGCGAAACGTTGGGGAATCAATGTTGGCAAACGGGTGAGTCCAGGCAGATACGCGAAAGCCTTTATCATGAAGATCTTCTATCATCTCTCTTGCGTTGGGGAATTTTGTCTGCGTGAAGTCTACATCTCCGTAATGTAATGTGTACTTGTCGTCAATCTCGATGTGACTGTTCGGGAATCCATGGTGGTTGATCTCGTCAGCGTATTCAATCACAGCTGACTGGTTGATGTTGACATGATATCGTGCCCCTGTTGACCATATCGGCCATCTGAACATGCGCTCGTCCGGCAAACCAGGAGGTCTGCTGAAGTAATTTTGCAGAATATATTCATGCACTTTCCTGACGTCCTCTCCCATGCACACCGTGTATTTCAGAGATGCATGCTTGTTGGTTGGGTTCTGATAGGGTGAGTTGAAATATTCAGCTTTAAAGCACAATTCCCGGTTTGTCTGTTTCTCATTGATGGACACATGAAGAGGGGTGTCTCTCTCAACAAATACCGCAACACCTCTGGACGACAACCAGTAACGTTCCAACACAGATCCAAATGCATTCCTTTCAGAGACGATGTCCCCCGATACATAGGGTTGCATGGAAATTCTAAGCTTTTCCAGCACCCAGTGCTGTGAATGTACAATACTTCCCCCGTACCAATGTGAATCGTTCAGTGAGATACAGTCTAGCGGGGCAAAGTTCAACCGCAAGGCTGTCCAATCAACATTGATGCATTTGATATTGTTCTTAAGCACGACATACTCAATGTCCATTTCTGCCAGGGGTGACTCATCCTGAAGCGTCACATTAATCCAAGTCAAGCAAAGCGAGTTGAGGCTGTCAGCCTCCTTTGTGCAGTCCTGAAGCTCCGCCCCCTCTGGGAGATTCATCCCAACTTTATCCCTGAACACTGTCTGTCCCTCAGCATCACTCAAAATCACCACTCGCCCCTGGGGGTCAAAGGACATGGGACCAATGGCCACAAATGACATGCGGCCATGTTGGGTGACATAGTACCAGGCAAGCAGTGCAAATATAAGCACTGCCACAAAAAAAGCCATGAGACCATGCCTGGTCTTTTTACGGAGGTAGCAAGGACCACGGGACAAGGGTTTATCAACGCTTGGCGTTTTTCTGCTAGCCGAGAGGGGCGTGCTATTGAGCGGACCAGGCGAGTCCTCGTATGAATATTTGCTATGCATTGGTACCAGTTCTTCCCAAAGACGGTGTTGAAGTGAAAACCTGGACTGCTGTAGATGCTGTCACTAGGACTGAGAATCAGGAATCAGTACCTAGGACAATGTACCTTTCAGGTTAAGTGGTCACCAGTTGATTTTAAATTTGATTCATTTTATATTTGTGGTGCATGCAGCTTTGCACTTTGCTTAGGTAAAATATCCTGTGCTTTTGTCTCCCAAGAACTGCTTCAGAGCGGTGCTAAATGCTTTCCTGCTGTCTGAGCCCTACGTCTGCCAACAACCAATGTGCGAGATCAGTCGGTGATCATCTGTGCTGAGACGACGATCCCTTGATCTGTTTCTTCGGTGATGCGATAAAAATAACTCCCTCCCTTCACATCCAGATCAATAGTCTAGGGTGAATAAATAAACAGATGCCACTCCATCTGCAAACAGGGGAGGGGGAGAGAAAATAAGAGTGAAATAAATTTCGTTGCAGTCAAGTTTTCTTGCCTGCCTTTCGAAACCGATTCCGGAGCAATTTTATTTTGGGTTCGACTGAAATAAATTTGACTGTCAACACAACTTATGGACCTGGAACAGAGCCAAGTATGACTGCTGTTTTTAACTCTTCAACAGTCAGAAAAAACCCTGATATCATCAGTCTTTGACAATTGTTCAGTTGAAGAATAAGTATTCTTAGTCAAAGATAATGCTGGCATTGTATGCATTGCTTTCTGTCAGCTTCTATGGAAAAATATGCACTGCAGGACAAACTGCATAAAATTCAATTACAGGGCAATAAATAAACCCAAGAATCTTACTGGTAATCAACTGAAGATTTCTGTCCAACAATTCCGAAAAAATCATAGGTAAAGAAATGTAATTATGAATCCACAAATTGTATGCACAAGTATTCTCGCCATCTACTGGTACACTACATTGTACATGTACATATGCATAAATGTACATGTGCATACATGTACATATACAGTACACATATTATCATACAGTAATTGATAATGAAAGGTACATGAACCCACAGTGTGCATACATGTACATAGATGGAAACATGTACATGTACATCTCCGCAATGCAAAGACATACAGAACTGTTTTATAAAGAAATAGCTACACGTATATGAATGTATTCAGGCAAGGTCACAAACTTAAAACAGAAACTTGTACTGTACACAAGTTACAATGACAAAAGCACATTAAAGAGAAACAGTGAACTCTAGGCCCCGGAGAAGGAAAAAAAAGTTCAACAGCTAAACTTCCCCCAACGATTGTACTAATCGTTAACTCTCGTCTATTGTCTACACGTACGTCTACATGCACTGGTAACATGCATTTCATATTTCAATTTCAGTTAATTTGTTTACCGGTACTTGACGAAACACTGATGTAGACGTGCTCTTAAAGCATAAACACAATGTGTAAAGATAGGGTCCCAACGACATACCGGTACAAAGGGGGGGTTCATTAAACAAATTTCAAACTTCTCTACGGGTAACCAGCCAATTCACCCACTCATTTTTACACTTTGCATAATATTCTAGAAGCACCCATCAACCCTCTAACTCTCGAGTCAACAGCCATCACTCACAGAAAAATTAACTTTACACACTGTGTCCTCGCAAGCTAGAGGGTAGAATGCAATCATGCGAGCCAGCCAAAATCTCATCATTTCTGCATTGGGGAATTCCTCTGTGGGCAAGACCCTTGGGGCTGCCAGAAATGGCCCCAAATCAGTGTGTTTACGGCTGTGCGTTTTACCTGAATGCATAATGTGCAGATAGAGACCTCAGGGGCATGAAAGAAATATTCCAAAGATTTTGAGGTTGTTCTATAGAGAATGAAATTTTCATCGCCAAACGTCCCCTAACAGCCTAAAAGTCTGTCCTAAACATGTTTCCAATGACACGTAGGTGAATGAAATACATCAGTGTGACATATGACTTACATGTACATGTACAGTATTTACAGTCACCAAAAATGAGCCAAAATGTTCAAAATTCGTTTTAAATTGTTGACATGAAAATTATTCTTTAAAAATGGATGACTTCAAGTTTCATTTTGCATTTCAAAATGTTTGGTCAGACAAACCCCATGCACTGTGCAAGGATGAACATGTTCAGTTAACCGCTACTATTTTAAAATAGTAAAAATATCACTCATTAGTTTCAGAAAGTAATCCTAAACCAACATGGCCAAAATAAATGGGACCACTGCTAATCTGCGTTACATGTACCTTTGTACATGTATATTAAACAATGATGTTTTCAACAGTGAAAATTCATGCAAGACATGTGAGTATGTTGTGTACATGTATGTCACTTGGTTCATGCAATGCACATAGTACATGTGCCATAGCGGTATGACAGCGTAATTGTATGTTAACAATCCTTACCTCCAACAGACAAGAGCCAGTTGATGAGCATGGATTCATTAAAGGGGATGCCATGCACATCACAAGCCATGGCTGGGCAAGGAGAGCTCAAGTTTTCCAAAATGTATTAATTTCCAGCATGGCAGTTTTTCAATCATCTTTGAATTAACCTGAAATTCATGTACTATGCATGTACATGCAGATGTGTACAAACACTGCATGAGAATGATTTCTGAAGTAGCAGGAGTACACTGGTGCTGGTGTGTGCATTGTCACACTTGTGACTTTTGGCAAATATTTACACGTGTAAGAGATACATGTGCTTGTATTAAAAAAATTATTTAGTTACACACACATGTACACATACATTTTGTACATGTGATTACTAAGTCCACTGGAGAGAGTCTAATCATGAAAATCTACTTACATGTACAGGTACATCTGCCTCCTGTTGCCATGGCTACAACCATATGCTTCTTTATACATTTTTGATGAGTTAAGGACATCTGTTGCTGCGTGCCTAGACATTCCTACTTTTGCATGACTCTGCATGCCAACTGAATTTGTCTCACTTCCCTTGGCCAAACTCAGTTCCCATTGGTTAACAATTCCTATGTCAAGGGCTTGCACTGCGCAATGACCCGCAAATACACTGTACCAAGACTTGTACATGTACTGGGACTAAAACAGAAGATTTCTCTGAGATGTGGGAGGGCAGCGTTGGTGGGGGATGAAGCATTAAAAACAATATACATAGATCATCAATGCTCATCACTGCTGACGCACATTTGCATGTACAGTGTGCAACACGTACACTTGTCTTAGGCCGAGACATGACAGGGAGTCAAAATGGCATTATAAGTGATGGCTGTTTCCTTGTCTTCCACCTTCTGCAGCCCGGATTCAAATCCCACCTACATGTACAATGTACGTCTACAAGCAGAGTGGGTTTCCAGTCCCTCCCTGATTCCATGGATTTTCCCCTGAATCAATGAATACGGGGTTTTCCTCCCGCCTCTAAAGATCGGTTCATACACTACATGTGCACATGTATGTACATGGACATGTAGGTGAGTGGGGAAAATGAGGCGCACTTGACGTCACAAGAAGGTGTAGAGAAATCTCGCTCAAGTCGAAATGTGTTAAATTTGTTACACATTTAAAGCACATAGCTGTACACCCACACTTACCTTACCGGGACATACCTAGTGTGGACATTCCTTTCTTTTCCTGCAGTTAAGAAAACTCAGTGAAAATACTTGTTTTTCCTGAACTGGGTTTAACACGATTTTCAGCTCTATTTTTGTAAAAGGTTTCCCTGACTTTTCCTTTTACGACAGATGACCCCTACCCTAAATTCCTCTAAACTTCTTTTTCAGAGAAAGGGAAACGTCCTGTGGACGTATAAGTCCACAGAACGTCTTCCTTTCCTGCATCGTGTGGACATCTTTTGTTCACAAGTCCATACTAGGTATGTAAGGTCAGCGCATTTGATCCGATGTCCCAAACACACCTTTTTGACCGGAAAGTGCCTTGAATGGCTACAAAACTCAGGCATGTTCATGGCATGAGCCATCATACTATAAAGTTGTGTACATCAGGTACACTGGTGAGACTGGCCACTGTTCAGGGATTTTGTCTGTAATGCTGGGGGTATTATCCAACGGACCAGTCAAATGCTTTCACGGTCTGACATTTACATGAAGCTGAATCCCAAATGGTTTAGTACTCTATGTTGTGGTGTATATCCAACCATCATGCGATGAGCATCTGCCATAATTCATGGTACATGTGCATGTACTTTAAGTGTATGAGGTACCACTTGGAATTCCTTGAGTAGGCCTGCCGCATGCACCAAGACTGGACATCAGTACAGTTTGTCTCTCATGGAAAGTGCCCTCTACTATTACTATTATTCAGCTGCATGCTTGCCAGTGCACGCATTGCGCACGTGCTGTATGTACCGGTTGACAAAATAAACGCGAATCCAGTCTTGGCCCAAGACTGGTACATACAGTACCCTACCTGTCAGGGTATACGGTCCATGTAACTTGCCCTGCAAACATGTCACCCATTATAATGAAGTACATAAGTACTATACGTCCTTCATGAATGACAGGATGACAAATTAGGTGGTTAGTCAATTTGTCCTTCAGTGAATGCTGCAGAATTGGACTGGTATATTGATTGGGTTGTTTGTCCATGGTCTACCTGTGTGTAAATTAGTAAAGATGGAAGTGAGATATGGATCTGTTGACAGGCATGACTGAAAACCAAGCACTGTAACTTCTCCTGAGGGTACACTGGCCTTTGTTCAGCCAAGAGGAAAATGCACCGTCGCATTTTGGAAAAATTGGTGAATCTTGGAAATGTACAGGCGGACACCCAAACAGATAAGAAGTAGTAAATCTGTAATATTGTTTACATTACAAATAAGTAAATGTTGGGGGGAGGGCGATTTGCAGCAAGTTGTGCCAACCTGAAGTGTGTGTCAATTCACGGCAATCATAAGAAATACACACAGAAAAAGAAACAGTACATGTATTTTTCCACTACCTCCTTGAAATGGACCAAGGTCCTGTTAGCAGTTAATTGTTTGAGATGGGCTACAATGGAAGTTTCAGGTCATACTCCAATGGCTGCATGAAGTTCTTTAAGTGGGTACCACTCCTTGAAGAAAAATGCTTATGGTCAGCTTCAGATAAAAGAAATAGCTTGGATTCCTTTCAAGGGTTCCAGCTGGTAAATTTTGAATAATAACCTAGCTATAATGTTATAGCAGTAGCTAAGTGCACGTTTTGCAATCATTTTAGGATATACATGTGACGGTATATACATGTAGCTATTTACCTTTTCTGTGCAAAGCTGAATGCCGCTTTTTTTCTTTACAATTGTTCAGGATTATACGTGTAGTAAATGTGTAAATATTTTCCTTTTGGCGGGGGGGGGAGGTAACTGACAGCCGTAATCTACGTATATGTACCGCTCCAAGTGACTTTCAGTGATGTCACTTGGACATGAACACTAGGATCCGAATCACGATCAGTCATCATTCGTTGGTTTACAGACACTAAGATTCGCCCAATGGATGGTGCAAACCAGCGTTGGGACTACTGATCCCAAACCAGATCTGTGTGAAACAAACAGACTAGCTGTCTGTAATTAGCAGATTCCAACAGCATGATATGTACGGTACAGTACATGTATTGGTATACCGGGACAACAGAAGTGATGCTACAAACACTCAGTTTCAGTTTTCTCAATAAAATCACACCTAAATTCGAGCACCAACTGGCATGACTGGGCTCGGTTTTCGCTGCTATGGATAAATACCAACAAATGGGCACACGTACATGTACATGTACATATACAGTACGGTACCGGTGCATATACATTTGTACATGTACATGTATATATACAGTACGGTACCGGTGCATATATACATTTGTACATGTACATGTAGCAGTGCATGAATTACCAAACAACGATGCATGCTGAGCAGCCCACTGAGTAAAAACATAGAAAGTTTGTCATGAAAGGTGAGATGAGCCACATGTTGATGTTTCATATCTTCACACTGCCCAACCAGGAGATGTTTGTCTAACTGTCTTGCACCAACACCAATGAACGCTGACAGGATATTGGCGAGTGCATCAGACAGTGTGCATGTTCTAATTACTTTCTACTGGGACTTGTTAAAGGGAAATGTACGTGTACAAGCTGGCTATAACATCTTCTTGTCATCAGCCCTGGGAATAAATTAATGTGCCACGGTATTCCCCAGGGGTGGCATGCGCCATGGGCTACAGTCTACAAATTGTCACACCAATTGCCATCACACAGAGCAACCTAGCTTTCTGAGGATTCTTAATCTACATGCGATTCCTAATTAGGCCCTGGTGATCAGAGAATAGCCTTCTCACATTCCATTTAATTTTATCTGAGATTTTGGAAAAGTAAAACATCCCCATTTTAAATGTACAGCAAAGGCCAATAGCAAATACGTATATTTATCATATTGATGTACATGTACCTAAATTGAATTGAACATCACTTCATAAAACTGCCCAAAAAGTCAACCCTAAAATTAACCCTAATATTGGTAAACTGTCAGTATTTCTGCAAGGAGCCTTCCTAAAATCCATCAATACCGGTATACTTGTAGCACTTCTTCAGTTTCATGATGTTTCAATATGTTTAACCACTTAACAAAATTCAAACCTCATCTCTAGATTTTGAAGGGGGAACTTTTAATCATTTGGCATTCTCTGTGAGAGCCTTCTGCCCAAAGTTTTTTTTTTTATCACAGATGTTGGCAAATTATTTGAACGGGCCCAAAAGAATTGCCTGACAAGGTTTAATCACCAGCTGTTTTCACCCTTGATGAACTACCGGTACTTGTACTAGTACTTTGCAGTATACATGCTCTACAAAGATGTGCGTGCGCTGTTCAGGCACCGAGAGCACTTTTCACAAGACGGAATTCTTTGGTACCCTCACTGTCAATTCATTTGGCATCCTGTCGGTGCTCATAGGGACCCACTTGTTCCAAGGGTACACTGTGCAAAAGTTTCACTTGCTGTGGTATGTTCCACCTGCAAGGACCCAGATCAGAATGATTATAGATCTTCCCCAGATCAATAAGGAAATGGAAAACACAACTACATGTAATTCGTAACCCATTGAAGCAAAAAAACCAAAAAGGAAAGGAGATTCAAGCAATGTATGTAACATTTATTTAAATGTTTACAATAAATGTATACACCATGCACGCAGAATTCTTACAAGGATAATTCCAGAAATTAGGGGTCCATTTTTGTTTTGTGTCCCCGTCACATCTGACATATGAGTTTGTAAGTTCAGAACACATTTTCTAATTTCCAAGAGTGATGCATTAATGCAAATTATCTGCAAAACAAATAGCAACAGTTTGAAATCAATGCCGGTGATATTTCCATGTCAAACAACAAAGGTCAAATGTAACAGGGACACAAAAATGTCACACTTTTGGACCCTAATTTCTGGAATTACCTACAAACACAATGTCTTTCAGCTCTCAATGGCTTGGGAAGCAAGCGACCTAACAGTGAGGCAACTTGGGCGAGGGATGGCACGGGGAGATCCTTTCCCCTGTTGAGGTCTGTGCCCGCCTCATTTCAAAATGTATCCTGTGAATATTTATGTACCGGTACAAGCCATACCATAGTTATGCAGCTTTCTGTGCCAACCTCCCTGAGAAAAAATGCATGCATTCCCGGCTGTCCCTCCCCCCCCAAATTACCCTAGTTATGCCCTGGTTACGCTACGGCAAAGAACCAAAGCTAAATGTCCAAACCCTCCGAACTAATTTTCATAGGATCAACTTCAAAACTAAAAAGGCTGACTTCATCTAATGACATCACATTATATAGCGTCAAACAATGCGCAAGTTCGGGCGTGAACTATAGTTCAACCAGTAGTCAGATGCTTTTTAACAATGCACATGTGCAATTCAGTTACACATGAACAACCCCAGTCGGCCTATCTTTTAAAATATCATCAGTGCTCACATTTCACTGTTGACTGTGAATTTCGCAGTACACATGGTCATTGAAATCTGGTATAGTTATTTTCATGTGAATGGTTCCCTCCTTAATTGATTTTTACATCACCATTTGGGGTTAGGGTTAACCCAAACCCCAAATCCCATCATATTAAAATTGGAGGATTGAGGATTGTTATGGGTTAATTAAAAATGAAATGGGTCACTGATAACCAGCGGTGTAACCAAACCCTGGAGCATGGTCCCAAATGATGGTAGTCCAAACCATCCATCGTTTGGGCAGTGTTAGTCACACACAGTCACATGTAACTACAGTCGTCGCTCAAACTTGCCCACAATGGGATTGAACAAGAACAGTGCATAAATTGGTATGCATGTATGCACACTATGTGTTACTGATACCTGATATACACACGCATAGGTATTAATAATGTACATGTAAATGTGTGACAAGTCACAGCAGCTCTAGTGTTCAGTGCACAAGGTGTGTGTACATGGTTTCCCATTAGTCTAATGTGAAATAGAGTACACCTAATGACAGTTTTCACTGGAATGTGCTCAATTCCCAGTTGGTTCTGTAACACCCTAAATGTAGGTGGGTGCCCAGTGCATACAGAACTGTGCGTTTGCAGGTGTTTTTGAACTGGATACCTTTTTTCTGTATTAACAGCACGCCTTTTTTAATTATACCGGTACATGTACCAGCATGGAGCTGGCTACATGTACATGGATTTGCAATTAGCAGGTTGTTCTGCTAGTAATCCTTGATAATAACTACATTAATGAAGCTCAAACATAAATGCCTCAGCACTTTTTTTTTTACCTGTACTTAATCAGGGGTGAGATTTGATGAGATGGAAATATCCACAAAATAATGAAAAGCAGCGTAGAGTCTTTGGTTTACATTTGTGTTTGCCTGACGCACCACTTAACATACGGTACCCATTTCTTGTGTTCTACATTGTACCGGTATATCAACTTTTATACGTATTAAACACCACCTTAATAATAAATTCTGGATTTTCCACATTTTGAAAGAGATTGTCTAAAGATCCTGAAATCGGGGGGAAAAAAACAGAATTACATGTACATGTTGCTACTGACATCAGCGGTGAGGTACATGTACCTGGGTGCTTGGCACATGCAAGCCTAGCATAGTGTGTAGAGGCCGGTTCACATTTCCTTCACCCCTCTCTGTCAACACCAAACACACATACATCTACATCTGTACTAACACTGACAGTAACAGAGTCTCAATGACTGTCTATATTTGGGCTGTGTCTCACGGTATGCACATGTACTCAGGATCATCAGGGTTATACCTTTGACTATGTTTGCCCCGTACATTGCCTTAGTCAGATGGTCAGATCAAGTGTATATTGAGCATCTCCACGGAAATTGTTGACTAGCACAGATTATGTGTAAACTCTTGCGCTTTCCACACTAGTCACTTGTTGGCAAAGCACTTCTTAAAGTGGAAAAAGTTAGATATTATACAGCATGTACAATGACTAACTTGATGCTTACCAAAATTTGTTTGAATCGCGATGAAGATTGATTCCCAGGCTCAACACTACCATCCTAGGCACCATGAGAGATCCTCCTCTAGCAATCTCCTCTGATGGACAAGCTGCATCAGCTGGAAGAAGTTGAACAGAAATGATTCAGCACTAGTTACAGTGTCTTCAGGGCTGCATGCAAGTGTCTTGGCTGTAGCTGCTACGAATCCAGAGGTGAAGGATTCTGCAAGCAAGCGCATATCTGGAACATGTACTGCGCACAAACCAATTGAACTTCGTGCTCAACCCACTGGATCCAGAATGGCTGCAACGCTATCACTGGCCATCCCATTGCATCTGAAGGGGAGACCAAAAAATTCCTAGGGTACATGTAGCTCACTTTGTGAATTACTTTTTTTAATAATTAATTGAAACTGGACAACTGCGTGACGAAGGATGGAAATGCATTTCTGTCACCTTGACAATACGGCGAGTTGGGTGTGGGGATGATAAGCATGGGGCTATCTTCATAATGACCTGAGAAAACAAAAGGCGGTCCACTCAAGGAGTACAGCTACTGGTACATGTAACAGATGCTGCAAATTTTCAGTCTGCAGTTATTTTCAGAGAATGGAATTTCTGTTTGACAACAAGACAAAGCTTTTTTCAATGTGTAGTTACTAATGTTGCAATGAAAGATTTTGAGGTAGAACTTTCAACTTGTCTAAATAAAATAATAACATAATGCTAGTGGATATCTGTATATAGTGCACATAGCATACATGTGCCATAAATTCTGATGCTCATGGCCCTGTTAACTCCAAAAAACCAAACAGATTTAACAAAGAAGCAATCAAAACGGAAAACAAACGCACAAACAAAAGCAACACAATACATGCAGTTAGCATTAAGAAAGCACGAACAAGCCATTAAGTAAAGACACAGAAACAACAGACCAAAGAGACTTCCATGCGTGGTACACACTGAATGTACGAATCACATGCATTGGAAGGCGTGGTGCTCTACTGGTATATCACCCTCAATGAAAAACAGAGAAAAGTTGCCTGCAGACCCAACAAAAGAATAATGATCATAGTACAGATTGTTAAAAATACAGGAAATGAAAAGCGACAAAAAATGAAGTACATTGTAAATAAGGAAAACTATTGTGGCTGTCGTGGTAAAGGAGAGCTTTCTATCTTAAGGTGTTGTTGCAAAAGTTTTTCTAAGACATAACTTTTCTGCAACTTTGTACTCTTTCTTCAAGGTATGAAAACTCTTTCTCCTATTTGGTTAAATGCACTGAAAGGTGCACTTCTTTAAACACGTATAATTATCCACGCTCTCTTGGAAAACAGAGGGCACTGTCACTGTGAAGTCATCTTGGGAAGATATACATGTAGTGTAGTGCATAGGTTTTCTGTTCACACTGTGAACCCAGAATTTACATGTACACATGTAAATGTACTTACCAAAAACATTTCTGAGGAAAGGACCGATGCTTGCTTATTGCTATGAGTGCCATACACATAATTAACAATGAATCAGCAAAGAAGAGAAAATTTAGTCCAGCAAAATCTACAAAATACATGACTTTTTTTGTGTACAAACCAATGTTACATTGAGGTATTCTTCCTGGGATGACATCACAGTTTCACTCATGAATATGGAAATATCATTTTTTAGCATAAAAACAAAAAGGCAGTAAAATACCCATTGAAATAGTGAAACAAAAATTGGAAATGAGGCTAACTGAGACACAAAGGTACGCTTTGCAGGTTTGCATTAAAGCATTTTGATTGCAGCTACCCTTTACATACTGTTAGTTCTTACAACTAAATCCTTCAAGTATTTTATTTCAATAAAAAAAAGAAATTTGAATAATTTTAATAAAATTATTCAACTTATTATCCCACTATTTCAAAATAAAATACGGATTTGGGTTCTTTCATTGGTTTGGCTAAAGCGACAACAGTCCAATCTGAAATTTTTAAAGAGTATAAAATTCACAAATCCACAATCCTTTAAACTCTAGAGGCTGAAATGCCCCTTTAGGGAATCAATATAAAATCCCCAAAGAAGCCAAGACACCATGGCTACTGGCACATGTACCTGGGGGCATGGAGGCCATTCCTTCCTCCATGCTTAGGGGAAGGACACAACACGGCTGACTCACTTTTCCGTTTTCCATCACATCCGACCCCATGCACCATGATCTCTGCAATATCATTACTTATTTACTAGTGCTCTATATACAGGTACAAGAAGTAAGAACGCAAAAGGCGTAACCACTCAAGCAGGTCACAACCCACATACTGTACAGTTGCCTGCCACAGAACTTGATGAATGTTTCATGGTTTGACTAATAAGTGGTCTGATGAAGTGCAGGTTTAGCAGTGTACATGTACCTTAGGCGCATTAAGAACAACTTTGTTGTAGGGCAAAGCTGATGGAAAATTTGGGGGGGGGGGGCGGAGGAAGGGGCTTGCTTTGTCCTCTAGAGGTGTTATTTCTTTCTTTTTTTTATATCGTGTGCTTTGTTTTTTATTTTCAAGGGATTCTTCTTTTCGCTTTTCAAGGGCATGGAGTACACTGAATTTTTTCCCCGAAATTTGAACATTTTGTACCCGTGCAATAAATGTAATTTTAAACTCGGTTAAATGCATTTTTATTGTATTTCTGTCACTATCGAAATATATTTCAAAGTTGTATGCTAGCGGCATTGAAGTTGGAGGCCTTTGGGTCAAAGTTTTCAGGTAAACCTGTATAATTCCGGGCAAACTGAAATGTGCTACTGGTTCATTAATTTTGGTTCCATTCAGCTGCTGAGTAAGATAATACTTTGAAAAACAATAAACTGAAACTTATCGCTCAGCCATCTTTTAATGCCATGATTTGGTTTAGTAAGTTCTATACACCGTAAGCCTGTGAAGAAACTTGTGACTATACATGTACATGTACATGTACCATACATCTGTAACAAAGTATTTCTCGTATTCCCGTGGTATACCTGTACATGTTCTGGGTACATGGATGTGAATCCACCTGCAAACTTGTGCAGAGTACCCATACCTTCATACTGACACTGTACAGTGTACATGTACATGTACATATATGTACAGTACTGCATCTTGAAGAAAAAATGTACTTAACCTGCATCAAGATGGAAGAAAACCCATTACAGTAGGTCCTTCAGGTGTCTTGTCTTGTAATTGGCTCTTGAATGCAAATTTGCTTTGCTGAGTTACGAGGCAACCTATGTGTACATTTATAGTACAGAGCTGAGACCCCTGGCTGAGCTGTAGTGCTCCCTCGCCACTTGACGTCCCTTGCTTCTTGCTCTTGAAACACTGACATGCATTAACTTACTTCCCCTTAAGACGGTCATTGAGAGGACATGCAAAAAGAAAAAAAAATTGTGTGTCCAGGCTCCATGGTGTATCTTCAGAGCAGAGTAAAGGTTGGAAATTCGTCAGAGCAGAGTGAAGGTTGCACACAAAACAAAACAAAAAAGAAACGGAAATGAGGTACATGTACCAGTATTTGGGCAAAGTTCAAGTCACAAATAAATGTACAATGTACGTGTACATGTACCAGACACATCATTTCTGTAGGAGTAAAATAAATTACATCTGCATGTAAGACTTAAAAGTTCTTGTACCACTTCTTTCAAAAAATACATTAAAATATTTACTTGGGGGTTTCGTAATGTGGGTAAATTTGACGGTTGGGTCCTAACAAAGGGTTTCTCACTGACTTATTGCTACATGTACCGGTACATGTATACATGTACCGGTACATGTATACATGTACCCGGTACCTGCACAACAATAAGTCACTATGAAAAGAAAGCCAATTAAGGCCAGCAAAATATTTAAAATGAATACCATCTGCAAATGCAATGTTCCCTCACGTTCTTTGATTACATAAACTTTCATGTGAAACTACAGTAGTGAGGGTACCATATGCAGTGAGTATATGTAGTCTGGTTAGCGGTTCCCGCATTACCTTATTCGCCGCTGGGACAGGACCGAGTCTGTTATATAAGCCTTATCACTGATTGAATTCCCTGGTAGCCTATGCACAAAACGTATCATGGTACCATGCAAAACTGACAAAAGGAGCAGAATGTTCGCTCTTGAACTTCCCAAAGCTCTTCTGTCTCATGCGCGCGGAGAGTATCCAAGACAGAGGTATGACAATGAGGTTTTATTTCAGTGACATCACAGTTCTGTTCATAAATATGAAAATGAGGTTAACTGAGATACAAATGTACAGTTTGAATTTTTGAATTGGAAACTGCGTTGCAGTGAAAAACACCAGAGTCTTTCTGTCACCGAAAAAAGTTTCATAACATTTTGGTAATGCATGTCTCACTACAACATTCAAATAAAACTGACTGGATATCTACTCAGTGCACATACAAAAAACCCACCTTGAAGGATATCATGATTTGGAGTTCATGCAGACAAGAATACGAAACGTGATAAATTTGGTCATGTTTTCACTATGAAACACTCATGAAAGTGTACATACACTGTCCAAAGGACACGAACAGATGCATTGAAAGCATGCATACTGGTGCATGTAGAATGTGCATTTTAGATGCTCTCATACAGAGCGCATGAACAGCTTGGAACTTGCGACTGATTTGGATGAACACACGATTAAATTTACCAGACTGGCTTGCAGCCACAAATTAAATTTAGTGTGGACTGAGACAATCAACAAATTTAATCAATAACAGGAGGCATATCGTTCACTGTACTGTAAAAGGTGCGGCAGGTTCCAACCAAACCCCCCCTCCCCCCAAAAAAGTGAGGCATGTCAGTGAACAAGGATGACTTGAGAATTACATATTTCATGGAGAGTAAATTCAGGAATCACTAACTACCAGAACCACATACGATATATATATGTATGTCATTGATCTGCACAAAATGCAGACTGTATGCTGTGCAAAGCTTACATGTACATGTACATGTATATATGCACACATGTAGGCCTACACGTGTACCGGTAAATGTACATGTACGTATTGCCCAAGAGAATTACAGTGACTCTGTCCCTAAATGTCAATCTGTCAAGTGCTCTACAAATCACCTACACTGTAAATCCCAACTCAAGCAAAAATAACACC